AAAGTTATATATATAAAGGACTTAAAAACTTTCAACACGTGAATTTTCTGATAGGAACTTATGAACTCTTTGAATATTATTCGTAATTTTATTTTAAGAGATATAAATTGTTATAAGTACATGTAATATATATCTTTGTATTAATTATCTTTACATACATTTTTAAAAGGGTAAAAAATGGTGTATATTTGGATAAAGGACATTATCCGAAGTAAACCCCTAATTTGGTGACTTTCTCATCTCCACATTAGTTCTTTTACTTCCACAGATGAAGAAGAGACTTGAAGCAACAGAAATGTTGTTCTACAGAAGGATACTGTGAATGGTTTTTAGAGAAAATGGAAATAAAAGGAAACTTATACTTAAAAAAAAATCACTTCGAGCAAGGCGATAATGCCACTGAGGCAAAAGGTTACTGGGAGTAAAAGAGAACGAGAAACCTTTAGAAGGAGGCGGAAATCCAATCCTAAACAGGAAACAAGGGGTAAACCACTTCTCGGGTTCAAAAGAACACCAAGAAAAGACAGTTGAAATATCTAGGGTCCGTGACGAGGAAAGACGGATTGGTAAATTTGATACTCGCAGGACATATTCCATCGCTAAAAAGAAAAGTTAAAAACATTTCTATGAATGAAATTCGTTACGTAGATTTTTTATTTTTGTCTTTTAATCACACACACACACACACACACACACCTGTTTGTCTGCCTGTCTCACTCTCTCTCGTTTATATATATACACACACACACGTATATATATCGTTATCTTATATATAACTATAACCATCCCTCCTCTTTTCTTTTTTTTCGCAAAAAGAAGTTGTATTTTGCTTTTAAATCTGATTAACTCGTTCATTCGCCAGTAATTTGCAATCGCCTGACGAGATGCGTTGTGTGCGCATCGAAACACGACTACAATTGTGTAGCGATTTTGACATATTTTCGATTTAATATCCTAAAATAAAGTGTGTGTATATATAAATAAATATATATATATATATATATATATATATATATATATATATATATATATATACACACCACAAATTCAAATATAGCATAATCTAGACTTCCTCAATTTCTTCAAATCCGAACTTTTCTATTGACATAAATATGAAACCTGTTCTTCCTCGAATCGGAAAAGTACCCTAAATACCAAACATCTTGGATGTTCGGTTTTGAAGAGTTGTATTTGATATCCTTATTTTTTGACTTCCTTTACAGATTCTAATTGTTTTTCAATGATAAATTTTTATAACTTTCATAAAGTGTCTTAGTTTTTCACAAATCACAATATTTGTTAAGCACCAATTTTTTCATTACTATTGGTTGCCAATTATTTTTTGTTCATTTATGTATTCAAAATCTACACTTTACATAAAAATGAATCAGCGCTACAAACTATTTTGTATTCTAAACTTTATAACTTAATAAAAATTTTAAGCTTGTCACAACAGCCTTTTGTTTCCCTAATCCGAACAGTATCCTCAATACCGTACACCTCGGATGTTCAGTTTAGAGGTTTTGCACTAATATATATATTCGTAGCCCGCAGCTTTTTCTCTTGCTGACAACTATATATTGTCTTCTTATATGGGTAGTCCTTTCTTCTCGCTTTCCTTTATTAACACTTTGTCTAGGAGGCCTTTTTAGTTTCCCTTCTACGTCTGCCATCAACACAGTGTTATTTGCGTATCTTATATTGTCGTATTGATAATCCTGCTAGCGTCTCAAGTTCGCATCGGATCTCCTCGTTATAGGCCGGGTTTCTCTACTGGGGAGGGGCGAGGGAAACCCCATTGGGGATTTGAGTAAGGAATCATTTGCTTTTTTTTTTTTTTTTTTTTTATAGACCGAATTTGGAGCCCATAATTTGGTAATTGTTCTGATGAACTTTCTTTTATGGTACCTAGACTTTATGAATTTAAGCGTAGTACTTGATTGGCGGAAAAGGTCTCATCATCTTACAGTTGAATTGGTTAGATGTAACCGGAAGTTCTATGCTAACAGTTTTTTCTAGTACTTCTCTCTTCCGGCTTCTTGCTTCCCAGTCTTGCTTTCTCTATAGTATCTAGATTTTAAACGCAGTACTAGATTGGCGCAAGGTCTCATCATTTTACAGTTGGAATGGCTAAATGTAACCGTAAGTTCTATGCTGACAGTTTCTTCTCTCGTACTTGGGGAACTCGCTTCCGGTTTCTTACTTCCCAGTCAACTTTGATCTTCAAAAATTTAAATGCAATGTCAATCGTTATCTTTTGTCTGCTTAATTCTTATTCTTTTATTGTCCTCTGTTCTTAGTTTTTTCTCATATTCTCTAACATTCGGTAGCCCTTTGCGTCCCAGTAACTTTGTCTTGCTTAGGGTGAAATGATACCCCCCCCCCCCAGAACAACTATTGATCATGCCAGATGACGCCAGAAACTGTAACTAAGGTCTGTTGTAGTATAGACCAGGGGTGGGTAACTTTTTGGAAAGTGCGTGCCAAATCTGACATAAAATTTAATGATCAGTCCATCCATTGAAGCAAAAGGGAAGTGAGTTCAAATCTCATGTAAGGATTATCTTTTATTTCCTGTTGGTGTCATCTATTTGCTGTTTAAGAATTGGATAAAAGGCTCTGTTCAAAATTCCCTAAAGGTTACTTGGATCTACAGACACCTGTAGAAGGCTGTAGGGTACAACTGTCGAAACATTTTCATAACAGCAAGAAAGGAGTGTGGCATATGGATTCACTTCAGAATGTGGATATGTGGTAGGATAATTATTTTTATGTGCCAACAAAATTTTTGAAACCTCGAAACTAGCAGGAACTGTTAGAACTGGGCCTAACTGAAATAAAATTCTTAAAAGTATCAGCCTGTTTTCGTCTTTCTCAGTTCACGAGAAATTCATTCTCTTTGTTCCTCTTCAGTTTTATTGCTTAAGTTCTTATGAACATTTTCAAAATATTCCCTCATCAGAAGTCATCCTACAAACGATTGTTTCGGAACAAAAAAAACCATAAGACTTTATTTTCTTTATTTATCATCCCACATTTTTCAGTTCAGTATACTTAAAATTCTCTAATATCTTCTTCATTTGAATGATATCGTTTCTTAGCTAATGATCGTGACAGTCTGTAAAGGGAAAAATAAAAAAATGAGATAATGATATATATATATAACATATATATATATATATATATATATATATATATATATGAAGGAAGAAAAGAATAAAAGTCAAAAACTGAATCCAATGAATAAGTTTCACGTGCCAGAAACAAGTACCAGCGTGCCAAGGATTGCTCATCCCTGGTATAAACCGCAGGCAGGCTCTGTGGGTGTTGGATAAACACAAATGTCGCTTCGCCGGCCGGTGCCTAGCCGTCCGAACAGATGGGTGTACTTAGATGTGTGGGCATTATTCAGAAATTGTATGAAATAATTTTTTTTTTTTTTTTTTTTTGTTAGAAACAAAAGAAAAGAGTGTTGAGTTGCTATGTGATGTGAATCCTCGCAAGGGTTAGGGCTATTGTCCAGCATTCACTGCTATAGCAGTGAATGCTGGGCAATATTATCTCCGGAGGAAAAAGAAAAAATGTCTCTACAGAAGGATACTGAGAATTCTATGGACGGAACGAGAAAGCGAACGAGGAAGTCTGAAAGAAACTTGCAAAAAGAACATTTGTACTCTGAATCAGGAACAGACACCTTAAATTTATTAAACGCATAAAGAGGAAAGAGGGCTTGGAAAAAACGTAACCCTCAAATGACATATTGAAGGCAAAATAGGAAAAAGCAGTGAGCCAGCTACACTGTGAATGGATAACGGAACGTGGGCTGGGAAGTCTTAGTAAAGCAAAGGAGAAAGCCTGCTGAGGCCCACATTGAATAGGAGGCTGTGGAGAGCTATGATCGCCCACATCCTAAAGGAACGTGACACATAAAAGAAGAATTTTTTTTTTTTTTTTCTTAGTTGAATATTTTTGCCATGTTGGATGTAGACGGTCTCGGAATCTTTTTTTAAACGATTTTTACATAACAGATTTGTCTCCCTTACATCAGATACGAATGCGATACTTCGATTATATCTTCACTTTCAGTTTGTCTTTTATGTACCGAGCCTATTCAGGGTGTAGGAGAAAATGGCTCTCCACAACTTCCTAATGTTTGTCTCTTTATTTCATTCCTAGTTCATATTCTGCTTTTCATTTACACAAACTCTCTGCCCTTCTTACCATTACTATATCCTGTGGGTGTTACATTTTCCAAGCTCTTTTTTTTTTTTTTTTTTAAAAACTAAATATTCACCTAAAACAAGGCCCAAGAACCACTCAAGGTAGAGCGTTACTAAATGAGGTTTTTGTATGGACTTAAGAGGAGGAAACTTGCAGATTATACGAATATGTAGGATAGCTATCTGTTGATCCTTGACTTGGAGGGGTTAAGATTATTGTGGATGGGGAAGCATTCTCTCGGGAGTTTGCTCCACAAACTGTTGAAGCTAACGAATGTTTTGCATGAAAATAGGGACGTTTTATCTCTGCAGAAGGGGTGGGAAATAATTACTCGGCTGAGTAAATGCTGTTGAGCTTTGTCGAGGTTGGAAAGAGAAGATTGGGTAGCTCCAGCCCATATGTGGCAGCAATACTCCATTTTTGCTACTTGTAAAAGTAGATTATGGCAGGTAGCGTCAAGTACTTTCCCCAGCGTCTTAAAGACGATGGACCGTACAGATGATTGATTTTGTTTTGTTTTTTTTTTTTTTGTTTACGGTTTATCAACATTTTGCGGGTTATTTAAAGCCAGAAATGTTTTTTATTTATTTAGCTGATATTATTGGTTTAGTGATACAAGTTTTACTAATTAACCCATAACTGGGGGAAAGATGTGGATTCATGCCTTTCCCAAGAGTATTTGCGCGTAAGTGAATATAATAAACGCGACTGGAATTGGAACTCGGCTCTCGGATTAAAAATTCGGAGCCGTTATCCATTACTCCACCCGCACATCCACGCATACAGCACTTGGTATTCCCAAGTGGTCACCCATCTAGGTACTAAGCAGACTCAACGTTGCTTAACTTCGGTGATTGTACGGGAACTGACATTTCAATATGATGTGGCCATAAGCCTCGTATAAATGAGTTGCATTAAGAGTGCAATTATTCCTCATTATGTGTCCCAGAAATTTCAAGTATCTCTTTCTGATTCTAGTACTTTTTTTTGATCATTTCACCCCAAGTAAGGCGGGAATGCCACTAGTACGCAGGGTTTTAAAGAAAGTGAAAGAAAAGACTGAGGATTGAAGAAAAGACAAAAGATGAACGGGATTCAAGAAGATAAGAGATGGGGACTGATGCTGCATTTAAATTTTTTGAAAATTCGAATTATCAGGGAAGGAAATAAACCTCCACAGATTCGCTAAAAAATGAGCAGCCCATGGCGAAAAAATAGTTTTTGAAATACTCTATTTTGATTATTGGAAATATTAAATTTAATCTATTAGCTTGAAATTTAAAAACTTTAAATAATTAAATTTAAAAAAAAATGGGGACTGGAAACCCAACTTCACGAAAAGGTTTGAATTTTAAAAATTCATTTTAAACCTTAGATATCATTTTTCTGTAGAAATACTTAGGTTACTGGGAGTGAAAGAGAATGAGAAGGCTTAAAGAGGGAACTGGAAACCCAATCTTAAACAGAAAACAAGGGATAAACGTCTACTCTTATTTAAAAGGCAGGGAAGGAGTGTGAATCGGAGGATATGCCATTTGTAATGGGTTCACCTCCCTGACCCATTAAAGTGGGTGAACACGCCCGCGTTATTTTGACTTTATTCCAATAAAACACACACACACACACACACACACACACACACACACACACACACGAGATAAAAACAATAAAATCTTAACTCTTTTTAACAGAATAAGAAGACTTTAGAAGGGACCGGAAACTCAATCTTAAACAGGAAACAAGCGATGAAACTCTACTCTTATTTAAAAGGCAAGGGAGGAGTGCGAATTTGGCGATAAATGAATATACCAACATAAAAAATTTAATGATCAGTCCATTCATTGAACCAAAAGGGAAGAGAGTTCAAATCTCATGTAAGGATTATCTTTTATTCCCTATTGGTGTCGCCTATTTGCTGTTTTAGAATTAGATAAAAGGCTCTGTTCAAAATTCCCTAAAGGTTACCTGGATCTGTAGAAGGCTGTAGGGCGCAACTGCCGAAACATTGTCATAACAGCAAGAAAGAAGGGAGTGTGGCATATGGATTCATTTCAGAATGTTGCCAATGTCGATATGTGGTAGGATAATTATTTTTATGGGAAACTTTGGGAATAAAACAGACTGAAATGTTTAAAATAAATAATATATTTATTTTCTTTAGAGTGATGAGCAAATTCTTTTGTATTTGGCATAGCAAAAAGTGTGTAAACAAAACAAATATTGATAGCAGTCTAAAGGTCTGTTTCGGTAGTCGAAAGTCAGACCATGTTAGGGCTAGTAGTAACTAGCAGCATTGCCCGTGCTTAATTCAAAAATTGTACGACTCGTACAGCAATCGCTATCACTTGAGTTAAAATATTTTTTCCCTTCCTTGCCTTTAAAGGATTGCCCTTTGCCGTGCTGATGTTGCTACACGCCTTTCTTCTTGCCTATCTCACACTGCGAATTTTTTCTAAGCTCTATACTAAACATTAAATCTGTTACACAAAATGAACACAAAACGATCAGTTTTAAAAAAGGACTCGTAACTGGAAAAACCGAATGGAAAAAGAATGTTAACAAATACTTTTTCACACCCAACCCAGTTCTGCGGAATCAGAATCAACGCTGCGTTTAAGCAAGCGAATGAGCCAATTGGAGTAAAGTGCCATGCAGATTAAATTTTTCCCACTTGTGACGAATGCAGTTATCGATTTATTTTATTTTTTTTTTGCATGTTAGCATGCTAGTTAACATTCGTGTTAGTCAGCTGTTGGCTCTCATGCTGGGCAATAGAATCTTCCTGCCTATTCGTGGCAGCCAACTATAGGCTCTCGATCTGGCCAGTAGAAAATGGCCGCAAAGTACATGAAAACTGCCGTAGAAGCATAAAAAATCGATTATTTTCACTATCGATGGGATTTGGGAAATGCAAAGTCAATTTTGGCCTTCCCACTAACTTTGTGCATGTAAATTTTGGTGCAAATCCGTCAAATTGCGGCCGTGCATTCGTTACACACACACACACACACACACACACACACACACACACACACACACACACATCCTGCCTTTTATAGAGATGTCAGAAATTAGGTCAGATGTCAATCTGCTGTCTTTTCTCTCAGCCCTAGACAGAGCGGAAATGTAAGTACCAGATGACCTCCCTTAACTGCTTATTCACGCGTATATGCGTTCTTTTGTTCAGTCCTCTGGGATCGTTCTGGTCTCCTGTCTGCTGGCCTGGATTTGTCAAGTCTTTATACTTTTGAATAAGCTCGAGAATTTGGCGCGGACATGGTTTCAGCTGACCTAAAAGTTTCTTTTGTTTCTATTTTTTTTTTCTTTTTGATTGGTCAAATTATTTTATTTTCCGGTATTCATTTTTTTTTTTTTTCTTTTTTATAACGGAAGTTATGCGTGGAGCCTCCTTGATTTTTGGAATTTTTCCGTCACAAATAAGTAACCTCTGCTTCTGCAAACTTAGTGTTTTTGGCCGAGTTCAGTCTTTCTTTTTTTTTTTTATTTCATGGTTGCTTTCTCGTAGGTTGAGAGAGCTATAGAAAAAGTTTAGGGAAAAAGAAAAGATTTTTTTTTTTTTTTTTTTTTTTTTTTTTGTTAATGGAAGGTCCAAATGCCTTATTTTAATTAATTTTGTTTTATATATTTTATTTTTATCGGTATTCACCGGAAGAGCATTTAGTCTTTCAACGCGTCCGGTGATAGCTCAGTTAAATGGAGCTTACGTGTTTGCCGGATGAGCCTACAGTAGGTTGGCTCCAAAGAGTGTTAGTCATGACTAACTCAAGTGGTGTTTAGCTATTAATTCGGTCAGATTGGATCAAGATTATTCTATTTTTGTTGCCGAGTGGCTCGTAATGTTCGCTAAATTTTGAGAGCGAGCGTTTCTGTTTTTCGCATATTTTCTTGTTCCGATTTTCGCATTTTTAAAAACGAAGTTATGATTGTTCTTTTCACATGTTTGGAATTCTTTGTGGGTACATCAAAAGTGCTGCAAAATAAATTTTGGCACTACTGAAATATACTGGCCCTTTTTAAAAAAAATTGCATCGGGAATAATTTTTATGAACATTCTAGATTTTTTTTAAGCCATGACATTTGTCAGATTCAAAAAATGTAGATTTTATTTTATTTTTTTTTTTTTTATAATGATTCTGAAGGGTGACCCTGTTCATAATATCAATACAGTTTAAAACAGAGGTTCAAAAACTTTTTGAAGTCGGGGCGCATTTGAAATCCTACCAATAATTGTAGGCGCACTATATACAAATTTCGGGAAAATATGTTATAATAAAAACAAATATTGCAGAAACGACGATTATCCGTTCTTGCATGGAATATTGCTGCCATATATGGTCTGGTGCTCCCGCTGTACGTCTCGAGGTCCTCGACAAAACCTAGAGACGAATATGCAAGATGATAGGTCCTGATCTGGCATCTAGTCTATCCCACAGACGTGCTGTAGCCTCCCTCTGTCTCTTCTACAAATATTTTCACGGCAACTGTTCCGACGAACTACTTTCGCTGGTTCCCGGACTACATGAATTTAAGCGAGCTACTAGGCTGGCATCTCGGTCCCACCCTTTCACTGTCAAAACTGTTAAATGTAACCGTCTCTTCTACTCAAACAGCTTCTTCTCTCGCACTTCCTGTCTGTGGAACTCCCTTCTCCTTGCTTCTATGGTGTCTATAATCTTCAAATATTGAAGTTTAATGTCAATCGACATCTGACACTCTGAGCTTGTTCCCCGTCCTTCTCTGTATCCTTTCCTCAAACACGCCTCTTTACTCTTGTTCTCAAGCCTTTTTAATCCCTTGCATGTTAGTGGCACTCCCGCCTTGCGTGGTGTGAATTGCCTTAAAAAAAAGGAAAGAAATAATGCAATAAAAAATAAAATAAAGTTTATTCATTCTTCTGTTTATGAGAAACATGAGGAGTCTTAGCATTTTCTTCAATGTTTGGGTGCATATTTGATAGGCAAACACTCATTTCCTCCTCAGTACATTGAAGAGTTCCTCTCTCTTGGCAGTTAATTGTGGTGAAAGCAGAAAAGCCCAATTCACATAAACATGAACAAGACGGGTACAGGAATATAATAAAGTAAATATTTATTTCTTGTATCTGGACATATACTTCTCTAGGGCGCACCTAGACATCTTCCAGGGCACACAATTTGAGAACCACTGGTTTAAAGTTTCTGTTTACACTGGCTTATTTTTTTACAGACTTATTGAACTTAATTGTTATTTACAAATATTAAATTTGAAACTCTGCTTTCAAGACTGATATCTGCAGATATCTTTTAAAACTTAAAATATATTTTTTTGCGGATTGTAATTTTTTCAGAACACATTTTTTTAGAAACTAGGGATAAACACATTTTTTTAGAAACTAGGGATAAACTTCTGCTCCTGGTCAAAACATAAGTGCAGAGTGGCAAAATGCAAATATTGGAGGATAATAATTATTTTTCTTAAATGAAAAATAAATGGCTATCTCCTTTTTTTTTTTTTTTTTTTTTTTTTTTAAATTAATCTATATAAATATTTTTTCTTTAATTAGAAATTAATATATCTATTTGTCCTTTACTTAAAAGAAACCTTTTTAACCATTTTCATGTGCAGAACAGCTAAGTCCTGATGTTGTATAGACCCTTCATGCTGGGGATCTCTTGGGAGATGGTGTTGATTTGATCATAAAGTTGCATTCTTCTTTCATTGTTTTGGTTCGAAGATAAAAGAACTTCAATAGAGGGAATTTTACTTAACTATTTTATTAACGTCAATATATACATCTTCCATTTATGTAATGGGGGTCACTCTCCCCAACTGTGGAGACCTTTCAGCCACGAAAGAGACACGTCTACATTGTTTGACAGTTAAAACTCAACT